AGGGAGGGAGGGAGGGAAGGAAAGAGGACGGGACCGGAAGGAGAAGACGTGAGTGGGTCTACAAGGGCGGCATAAAACGCGAGTGGTCTTCTCTTCTTTTCGCTCTGCGCATCCTCCTCTGCGACCCCGCCGTCCCCCTTTCTTGATCCATCTCCCTCAGAGCTCCGTACCGGGCAAGATTCCCCTGTACAGCCCCGCGAGGCCCCCCCTCCCAAGGGCCAGCACCCTGTCGACCAGGGTGGCCTCCCTGCCCCGCGGACCCACGGGGGTGCCGGCTTGAACCTAGAAAGAGGAAAAGGGGGAGGAGGCGGGGAAATGGGGAAGAGGTACATTGGAAACATCGGAGTGCGTCGGTGGTGAGTTTGGACCCTCGGGTTCATCTCGCTCTGTTGAAAGAGCTTGGACTGGGATTAGCCAAAGAATAGGACGGAGCTACGAGTACAACGGAGGAAAATACGGTAGAAATGGACTGGGGAGAAGGAGGAAAATAACACAAGGAAAAGGGACTGCCACGAGGACAACGGGGAGGAAAAGAGCCTAAGAGGACCAGTGACCTGGTTTTTCAGCACTTCAAGCGGCCAGACTACCCAAAAGCCGAACGTTGCCGCACCAGCTGACGCGAGAAATTGCCCAATTTTGGTCTCGAACACCGAAGGATGATGCCGTCTGAAAGAGAAGATCAAGCGGATAAAAAGGGCAAGAGTGAGGAGGGGTGTTCCAAAAGGGGGAAACGAAAGGCGGTGTGAATGGGGCCAGACATACGGACTCAGTATTCATTCCAAACGTTTGATTCCTAGAGCGTCAATTTGTCATCATACGGAGGGGAGGCGAGGACAGGAGGGGTGGGAACAGCGCTCTACCGGATCGCGTCGACGGTGACGAAATACGTGGTCATTACGCCTCCTGTGCGGCCCAGCTGCAAGCCGAAGCCTCTGGCGAAGAGAGACGTGTGATGGGCGTGGAGAGAGGGAGTGGTGATGACGAAGAGATGATGTGGGAGGCATAAGAGCTTTGTAAACCCTCCAGCCTCCCCGATCCTCCTTCCTCGCCTTTCCCTGGTTCCCTCCGCACAGACCTGTACACCTGCCCCAGCTTCCAGTCCTGCCCCGTCTGTCTCGCCACCTTCGCAAACTCTATAGGGCATTCCAACAACGACCGCGCCGTGGCCGCTGCCACGGCTGCACCCACCACCCGCACCTGGACCCCCTGCGTGTGTGGGATTTCCTCCCGGCCCACCTGGAGGTACGTAGATCAAACTAATTCAGTCGGTTGCAATTAGCAGGGCAGGAAGTATTGTAGGATAATCGCATCACGTCATGTTTCGCATGCCATACTGCTCCTTCCTCTGATTCTCCATCCATCGTTGCTCACCTCATTGTCCCATTTGGTATAGAGGGCCTCGAAGACGGCGAATTGGGTGGAGCGATAGACTCCACTGCCGAGGAGAGGAGGAAGCGCACCCTATAGGGAACAAGCAGGCATATATATCGTACCATAAACATACACATTGCGGATGAAAGCTGCTTTTCTTTTGAGCCCTCTCGTCTACATACTCAGCGTACGAAATTTAGGGCCTCTCACACGTCTCACCTTGTATAACCCCGGTAGACCCTGCGTCTTCAATACGGTGCTGAAGGATCTTACCATCCCAGGGCCTTTTATGAATCCTTCTTGAGCTTGCATTTTGGTCTTGATCGTGTCGAAGGGATGGCCCACGGCGACCGACTACGCGCAGTTTTGGGGCCGCAAGAGGATGGTGATTTAGCAAAATCCAGGAACAAAACAAGATTTAGCATATAAATCTATAGCTTCGAATCCCTCTGTGTGCTTTTTCACGCTTTTTGTATGTTTGCCATCCATAAATGAACTTGCAGACCCTGGAATGGGCCGAGGGCGCGGGACAAGCTTGACGATCTCAATAAAACTCACCGTGACACCATATAGGACCCCTGTGCCGAGACCAATCGCGCCTTCCTTAAGCCAATGTTGTCTTTTCTCGTTGTGCGTCATTCCTAGCCTTAGAAAATGTTGAAACCATGCTCAGATGAGAGGGCGAATAGCTCCGAGTGTAGTGTCTACGGTTGACCGTTGCATGTCTTCCGCCTTCTTGTTCTTTGCCTCAGAGGGCCTATTTCTAATTCGAGAGCCAAGAATACGCCATGTTGGAGAACACTTTTTCAATAAAGACTTTTTAAATGGGAAAGTCAAGAAAGGCCAGAATTCTTCACAGACGCCTATTTACAGGACAAATTGCAACACGCAGTTGGCAGGCTGTGGCAAAAGCAATGAGACAGCTTGGGAGGCTGAGATACGACGAGAGCTCGGAAACGAAATCAGGAGATGACGATAATTTTACTTTTCCATGTATACATGCAAAGATTCTTCTCTCTCGATCCGAGTCATTTTTAAGATAAGACAAGTATGAACCCGACATACATTTTTCCTGTACCCTTCCTCTGCACACTGCCGCTTGGCGGCTGCCGAGCGCCCGCTTTAAAAAAGGGACACCATCATAATATCAGCCACTGTCGCCGATCCCTTCGCCGCTCTTCGTCGTCGTCCCCCTGAAAGGCACGCTTTTCGTGGTGGCTTGGGTGGTGGTAGACGAGAGCGTGCCGTTGGCCGCGCGCTCCGTCGTCACGGTCACGCACACGCTGTCCTTGCAGGTGATCTCCACGCGTGTGCCAGGCCCAGTCATGCTCAAGGCGGTGCTGTTCCCTTGCATGTCGGGTTCGGCGACTTTGCACAGTCCCTCGCTGCAAAGCACGCACCGGCTATTGGTGCAGATGAGGGAGGAGGAGATGGTGGTGCCGTCGGCGGCGGTGGTGGTAGTGGTGATGCTGCTGGTGCTGTTGGCATTCGTATCGTTGCGCTCCTCCATTACGACCCCGTTGCTAGGCGCCAGGGGCTGAGCCACAGGCTGGGCGACCATGGGTGGCATGGCGGGCATCAGACACTTCACGCCCTTACACGTGGGGCCGTCGGCGGCTCCGAGGGCTTTCCCTCCTCGCCCAGACGTCTCCAGAGCGGCAATCCCGGGTACTGGGCTCAGGCTGGTAGACGCACTTTTTACGTCTCCAGCCTTCATCGTGCGTGGGATTCGCTCGGCATCGCCACGATGACGCACCTCGAGCGCCTCCTGCTTCTGTTCAGGACCGGCCTGAGACAACCTCACCGTCGCGAGGGTCGTGCATATGCTCCCGACGCATGAAAACTCCTCCGGCACCCGACGGGGTTCTACTTCTGATTCATTCGTCACATTCAAGATGCTGTTGCTGCCCCGTAGGCTCCCACTAGGGCTCGATGTGGTATCTCTCGTCGGGACAAGCTCATCCGCAGCCGAGAGCCCCAAGGAGGCCAGGCTGAGGATTAGAACTGCCACCTTCAGCATTTTTGTGACGCACCGATTATAGGAAGAAGACAGCTTTTGATCTGGAGGAGAAGAGAGGTGAAAAGTGATGAGCGCAAGTTTCCTCAGCAATGGATGGAAAAGCAAGGATTATGTCTCGGCGTCAAGGGAGGTAAGCCACGCTCCCGCTAGCTACATAAATCGGTAATAAACGCCAACCACAGAAATGTCCAGCCTCACTCTGGAGGCTCAGCTTCCAAGCGTACACTTTCCTCATCAGTACTAGTGGACACACGGCAAATTGTAAAAGCGGGAAATACATATATATATATATACGCCCAGGGACCAAATTTCCTGCACCGGTGGCGTCGGCCTCGTCGCTGTGCCACAGAAACGTTCCACGCGTGACTCCCCATTAGTTCCTGAAAGACTCGAAAAATGTCCTACCAAGACATGGAGGCGAGGCAGACATTCATTTGTCCGTCGGCAGTGACTTTTCTTCGAAAAAACATGTGCATATGGTTCAAAGGACATTCCGCGGTCGAATTTGAGGACTTCCTCAAGGTGGGAGGCGGGTCATCCCTCACATTACTTTCTTTTCATCGACATCGAGGGTCTGCGTCCGCGTATAATATTCTCACCTGCCCTCTCATTGAATCGCGAAAACGCTGTAAAATTTGCCATGAATATGCGGGGTGGAATCACATGAAAGGCGGGAGCAGGGACCATCTTGTCGGCAAGGGTGTGTCGTGCATTTTTGTGTATTAGCACAGGGTTCCGGGTCACGTACCACGATATGATATATCTTAAAGAACAATAAAGAGAAAAGACGAACAATCGAGCTGGTTGACTGCCGAGATACCATTTTCTTGGTTTTCACAAAGCTGTAAACATAGCTGTCGAGCATACCTTCCCCTATATTTTTCCTGCCGAAAATGTGGGTACGCTAGCTACTACCAAACATACTCAGGCTTTCAGTGTTTGACGTGAATCAGGACATATCAGGACGCCATGTGACAGGGAGGAATGGGAGAAGAATCGACCTACTTGGAGCACACGCCTACGTGTGCTCTTCCCTTCCCCAGATACCCCTCCACTACGATGCACAGACGACCCGCGTGGGCACGAGCTACACGGTCCTCGCCTCCAGTCATGCATGCACGGAGTCGCAAGGCAGCGTCAAGACCCCCGTCTCCCTCCCTTTCTGTTCTTCCAGTGATCTACATGCGATCTCCCCTATTCTAAGCCGTCGTTGTCTACGCCGGCGTCAGGTTGGGCGGCAAACTCGCGTCCTCCTTGGTCTCATCCTCCTTCTTGGCATCCTTACTTGGCGGGTCGGCGCTGTGGCAGTGGAAAACGCGGATATGGGGTCAAGAGTGGAGGAGGTGAGGATGCCTGCCACTGACAAGCTCGGCGGAGTGGACATCGACTTCCCGTAGGTGCCACAAAGGAACTCTCCTATACGTGCGGACCTCCAATCTCCTTGGTATTGACAACATCGTCAGCTCGAACGAGAAAGCAGGATATACCCGTACCTGACCGCGGGCTTGATGCTCTCGATGAACTCCTGGTACTCCTTGTGCGCGGCGAAGGGACGAGGACCGATAGCCCCGACGATGTCGTCGTGGTTGATGGTCTCTTTCTGCGATCGCGGGACAAGGGGATGGATTGGATGGTGGAAAGGTTCAGAGACGCTTTGAGAGAAGAGACGATTCAAGAAAAAAAAAAGAGAATGCGGGACATGACGGTCATGACGAGAGAGGGAGAGAAGGGGAGCCCCCGCAAAGGACGCACCTTGAGGAGGAGCTCCGCAATGTTCTCGATCTGAGCTTTCTTCTCTTGAAGAAGCACAAGGGTGCGCCTGATTGAGACAAGAGGGGATGAAAGCGGGTACGGTGAGACCACCCTGTCTCGGAGCCCGGATGCCAAGGCCATTCCCTCGGACGAGATCATCCCTCGCGAGCAGAGCACCCTCATAGCGTGCACTGGATGGTGCGTGCCCCCCACGCCCTCTGCGCCCTGCCCCACATCCCCTCCTTCCCGGCATCCTTACGTATAGGCCTCATCCACTAGCTTCTTCGCCTCCTCGTCCATCGCCTGAGCAGTCGTCTCGCTGTAGGCGCGCTGCTCCATGCCGAAGCCGCCCTCCTGAAGGACACGGGGTAGACAGAAGCCGGTGAGAAGCGATAATGTCAAGCAGATAGCCACACGCACCACCAGGGAGTCCCGATGCACACAGAGGCCACCATCGATCCCCACGTGCCAGAGGACTTGGTCCATGGGGCGCTGGCAGAAAAGAGGGAGGCATGCGATAAGAAAGGGAAATGGCTGACCTGCTTGGGAAAAGCGAGGTTCCCGATCCGATCGTTCATCCCGTACACCTGGATCATCTGATAGACGATCTGAGTCACTTTCCGCAAGTCGTCCGAGGCACCGGTTGTAACCTGCCAAGAGGACAGGGCGGGCAGAGAGGGGTGGAAGGGCGGGGGGAAAGGGGACGTCAGGTGACTGGAGGCCATAGGAGGTCGGATCCTGGCCGAGGACAACAATTGGAGAAGGAAGCGATGCATGGGGCAGGCACGGAGAGATAGAGGGGAGAGGAGAGAAGCCAGCGAAGTCGACGGACCTTCTCGAAGAAGATCTCCTCGGACGCCCTGCCCGCCAGCGTCATGCAGACCATGTCCATGATTTGCTCTCTGGAATCAGGGTAGGGGAAGGACGTGAGAGCGCGGTGCGCGAGGGAGCACGCCCCTGTGGACGGCGGCAGGGACAAAAGGGGGGGGAAGAAGAAGCGCCGTTACCTTGTCCGGAGAAAGACTTCTTTGGGGAGATATTGCGCGAAGCCCAGAGCGCCGGAGCCGCGGGGCACAATGGTCACCTTGAGGAGAGGGTCGGCGTGCTGCAAGTTCCAGCCTGAGGAGCGTGGGCACGGGCGCGCGGGGGGAGGGGGGGCGGAGGGTGTTCGCACAGTGAGGGTTGGCGAAGCGAGAAGGGGGTCTCCTTTCTCTACATGTGGCACAGCGGGGTACTGTACCCGTGTCTCTGAGAGACGTACCGTTCCCCTCCCCCTCCCTCCCTTCCTCTCTCTCTCCCCCCCTCTCCTCTTCCTACCTGCCACGGCATGCCCCGCCTCATGATATGCGACGATGCGTTTCTCTTCGGGTGAAATCAGCTTGTGGCTCTCCAGTCCGGCTATGATGCGCTCGGTCGCCGTCTAGGAAAGGGAGAGGGCCGTCACGGGGAGGGTGAGAGAGAGGGGCGAAAAGACTCGAGCGGGTCGCATCCTCCTCTTTCGACGTGCACGTCATGCACGAGACTCGAGGCGAATGGCCCAAGAAGGAACAAGAGGCAAGGGTAAAGGAGAGGGAGAAGGAAGAAGCCCCACCTCGAAGTCCGCGAGGTCCACGCTCGTCTTGTTGCGGCGAGCCGCCACGATGGCGGCCTCGTTGCAGATGTTGGCGATGTCGGCGCCCGTGAAGCCTGGCAGGTGGAGGAAGGAGAGAGGGAGAGGAGGAGAGAGAGAAGGTGAGGGGGACGATGGGGAGAGAGCATCCGGGTATCCTGACATCCATGCTTTCTACACCCGCGGGCCCGCCGCACCCCCCACGCGTCTCTCCCCACGACTCCTCCCTGTCGCATCCCTCGACCCTCCCGCCTCCTCCCGGTCCACACCAGGAGTCAAGGCCGCCATCCTGTTCGCCACCTCCTCCAGGCCCGTCGACAGCTTCACGGGCTTCAGGTGCACCTACAAAGGAAGGGAGAGGGCGAAATTACAAGGGAAATTTGCTGGTTCTCGGTACATTCCCTCTCGCGGGCGTTTCCCCTCGTACGTAATGCGTGTTACCTGCCCCCCTCTACTTCTTCCACATTCTTCCCTTCACTTCCCTCCCTCCCCCTTTTTCTCCCTTCTCTCCCCACGCGTACCTTGAATATGTCCGCGCGCCCTTTTATGTCCGGTCGGTCCACCTGGATCTGACGGTCGAAGCGCCCGGGCCGCGTCAAGGCGGCGTCCAAGATGTCTACCCTGAGGAAGGGGGAGGAAGGAGACAGGGAGGGAGGGAGGGAGGGACGCAGAGAGCGTGCTGAGACACCGCCTCCCGCACACGAGTCCCTCTCCCCTCTTCGCGACCTCCCATACCCCAACCTCCTCTTCTATTCCCTCCTTGCCGTGCTTCCCACTCCTTCTATTCCTTCCCCCCTCCTTCCCTCCCTTCCCCCCTCCTTCCCCCTGCTCCCCCCTCACCTGTTCGTCCCCGCCAGGACAACCACCCCCGTGGAAGGGGAGAAGCCGTCCATCTCCACCAGGAGCTGGTTCAGCGTGTTCTCCCTCTCGTCGTTGCCCCCCGAGAACCCTGTCGCCGTGCAAGAGGAGGCCTCCAAAGCATGAGCATCCGGCCTACTGCTCCCTTTCCCTCCCTTCCCTTCCAGCCCCGACCTCACCTCCTTTCCCCCGCTGCCGACCCACGGCGTCGATCTCGTCGATAAAGACGATGCAGGGCGCCGACTCCCTCGCCTCTTTGAAGAGGTCACGCACGCGGGCTGGGCCCACACCCACAAACATCTCGATGAAGTCGGAGCCTGACAGGGGAAAGCGAGGCCGTGAGGATGAAAAGAGACCGGGCGGGGGGCACGCCGGGTGAGCTCCACTGCGCGTGGAGGCCGTCTGGGGAGTCCTACAGGCCATCCGGGCGAGGCAGGGAGGGGTGGAAGGAAGGCAAGAGGGAGGGAGGGGGGAGGGGAAAGAGGAAGTCACCTGAGATGGAGTAGAAGGGGACAGACGCCTCGCCTGCCGTGGCTTTGGCCAAGAGAGTTTTTCCCGTGCCGGGAGGGCCGCAGAGAAGAGCTCCTTTGGGGATCTTGGCGCCTGGGAAAGAGAAGGGGAGGAGGGGAGGGAGGGAGAGAGAGAAGGAGGATTCAGAGAAACGCGCGGTACGAGGTACGGTTGGCACTTGAAGGGGAGAAACGAAGGTAGAGCAGTGCCACAATGACGGGCAAGAGCACGTGATGAGAGGAAAACAGGGGAAGGCGCTCACCCAGGTCCGTGAAGCGCCTCGGGTTCTTGAGGAACTCGACGAACTCCATCACCTCCCGCTTCGCCTCGTCCACCCCGGCCACGTCCTTGAACGTGACGTTCACCTGACGCAAGGAGGGAAGGGAGGAGGGAGGGGAGGAGCCGATTCGTGGATGGCGCGGACTGAAGGCGCCGATCAGGCACAGGGTATGTACTTTCCTTCCCCTTCCTGCCCCTCTC